CACCTCCCCAGGAGCGAGGGGTCTGGCTGTCCCTGCTGGAGACGCTGCGGGAGCGGGAGCTGCTGCCCGCGGTGACGTTCACCTTCTCGCGGGGCCGCTGCGAGGACCAGGCGGCCGCCCTGGGCTCCCTGGACCTGCTGAGCGGGGCCGAGCGCGGCAGCGTCCGGCAGTTCCTGACGCGCTGCCTGGCCCGGCTGCGGGGCTCCGACCGCCGCCTGCCTCAGGTGGGGCTTTGGGGGCCTCCCGGGGGCTGCGATGGGGGCATGGGGGTCCCGCGGGGCCAGCGACGCCCCGCGTCCCCCCTCCTTGTCAGGTGTTGCAGCTGTCGGAGCTGCTGCAGCGCGGGATCGGGGTGCACCACGGCGGGGTCCTGCCCCTGCTCAAGGAGGTCGTGGAGATGCTCTTCAGCCAGGGGCTGGTCAAGGTGCGTGGGGCAGGCATGGGGCCGCGGGCGAGGTGCTGCGTCCCCGTGTGGGGAATGGGGTCCTGCCCTGCCGTGGCGCTGCCCCATGGCGGCTCCTCCAGCCCCACACCTGCTCCAGGTGCTGTTTGCCACCGAGACCTTCGCCATGGGGGTGAACATGCCGGCGCGAACCGTCGTCTTCGATTCCATCCGCAAACACGACGGGAACAGCTTCCGCGATCTCCTGCCCGGTGCGGGGCCGGGGGGCGGCTGCGGGGTCACCGGGGATGGCCGGGGGGCACCTGTGGGGCAGCATTTGGGGTCTCGGTGGCATCTCTGTCGGGTTCCACCAGAGCGTTCCTGTAAATGGGGAAATGCAGGGCAGCTGTCGGGGGCTGGGTGCCACGTCCTGAATGTCCCCACGGAGTTATACGTGCAGCGTGGGTGTTGTGGGGCGGCTGTTGGTCACTGTGGGGCAGGTGGGAAACATGGTTGAAAAAGTGGTGGGAAATGCGATCAGGATACGTCGGATGAAAGTGTTGGGAGAGGAGTGGAAAAACAGCAGGAAACGTGATTGAAAACCAGTGGGAAACGTGAGGGGGAAAATGGTGGGAAATG